TTCATAAACAACTGCAAATCTCCAATGACAATTCAGTTCTTGAAACTTTGTTGATGCATGAAGTTTAATAATATGTAGAAAAATAATTGGAAACTGTAATTTGCGTTTATTTCAGTTAGAATTATACGAAAACAATTAGATTATTAAGCAAATTTTGCTCTCGATTTCTATGAGGTGATAGCTGATGTCTCAGGCTGAAGGCTGAATCTACTATCACCTCATAGAAATCGTGAGTTCAAAATCTAATTGTTAGTTAGTGGAATTCTACTAGTACATGTATGATAGAAACACAGATCTAGCGCAAACTGTCAACTACTGTATATGATTGTACAAGCAAAGACAATTTACATTTTTATTATCAAAATAAGCTTTGCCAAGTGACATTTCCTTTCTTTTTCTCAATGTGTTTTCTAAAACAAATTGAAAACATTTTCTCTGTGTTTCTATCAAGTTTTATATAATAAACAAATTGGATACTGTTAAACAAATAGCTGTTAAAAATAAAAACACTAACAATTTGAACAGAAAATGGAAAAACCTTAATTTAACGGCAGAAACTCAAAAAAGCAGAGGAAACACTCACCTGCAACTTATTTTCCTCAGAACGTCCACTTTTTACTGTGATACAATAAAAACTAAATTGGTTTATTATATAAAACTTGATAGAAACATGGAGTACATGTTTTCAATAAACTCGAGTTTGTAGCTATATAATTTAGTTAGTTAATTATTAGTAGGCGAAGAGCCACCCTGTGGAAGTACTACTTATATGTATAAAATCATCATTATTGTTATTATTAATTATTGTTATTGTTATTATTACTATTATTATTATTATTATTATTATTATTTTATCAATTTAAATTATAAAAACTCAGTCAGAGGTACTAAGGGTTTGCGTTGAACAAAGATATGTAGTGTAAGGGTTCACTACTTATTCACGTCTTTGTTTCCAATATTTGTAATTTATTTAATGGGAAACATTTGTATTGCTGAATCACAAACTGACTTAAGTTAATGATTATTTTTTTATTTCTTTTATTTCTTTTATTTACGTATTTACAATATTTTGCAGTTGATGGTGAAGTAATCAGCAGCATTGGTAAAGGACTTTGTGTTTTACTGGGAATTTCAAAACATGACACTCCTAAGGACATTGAATATATGTGAGTTTAATCCTTCTGTTGCAATATTTGTGCATAATGTACTTTTTTCAAGGACGCATGCATACTACCTCTCTTTGGATAACTGCCCCCTCTTTCTTAAAATAATTAAATTTGAAAAAAGCAGTTCCAGAAGGCGTGTTGAAAACACAAAATGGTGAAATGGTGAAATGACACCAAGGTTAGCCTAAATAGTGCTCAGATTAGCCTAAATATCACTGACTTAACAGTGGTAAAGGTAAGGAAAGTCTGCATACGAGCCAAATGGTTCATCAGGCCGAAGCTTATCCAGTTTCAGTAGCATGAACTGACCAGAAGTATTTCCATTCCCCCCTTGGATGGGATGCTAGTCCATCGCAGGGTTACCCCCCACCATTAATTTCGCCAGTACCCATTGATACACCTGGGTGGAGAGAGGCACTGTGAGAGTAAAGTGTCTTGCCCAAGAACACAACACGATGTCCTCGGCCAGGGCTCAAACCTGGACCACTGGATCTGGAGTCCAGGACAGTAACCACGAGGCCACCGCACCTCACACAATTATTTAATAGACTTGCATTACACGTAAAGCGCTAAATAAACAACACGGCCTGGTTGCTCAAGGAAGGTTACATGTATTCTAACCTAGGACCATCACTGACTTTGAATTCATGGTTACAAATCCCAACAGAGCCTATTGTTTTGTTCACACAGCTCCCTCCCTTTCTTTGTTTTTTTTATTGAATTCGTTCTCGCCCTTGCTGCGAGGGTTTTTATCTGAGTTCTCTGGTTTTCCTCCCACAACAAAAACCAAGACTTTCCAAACGTCTTTATTCTTCCCTCCCTCCCTTCGTCCCAACTTTCTACCCCTATGCCTCCCTCCCTCCAAAAAAAGTAAAAAGAAATGGTCTTAGGTTACTGAAAGACCACGGACTGGACTTAACACCTACCTATACAAACTTCACCAGTGACGCACGACTTTGTATCCCTGTGTCTTCCTTCACAAAGACTTCCACCGTTGGCCGGTGCAGGATTGTCGCAGTGCCGCTCGCGTGACATTATACCAGCGCCACATGTCACGCTGCATTCCGTCCAGTTGCTCCATTTAGACCAACCACCATTGACTGCGTGACGTAAAAAAAAACAAACAAACTTGATGTCAGCGAGAAGTTCGGTTTTCTTAAATACGTTTTAAATTTGATACAAAAGCTACCAAAGTGAATGGCGTACCAATCAACCTTTCAGAAGAAATTACATGACGGACAAGACATGTTAAAGTACTAACCTGGGCATTTATTTACAGCACACTCCTTTGACTCATGATAGTCTGAGCCACAGCCTTTCCCACCATTAAAGGGAGGTGGGTTTGTACAGGAACGAAAGCGTTCTATCACGCCACCACCACAAGTTTTCCCACAGGAAGACCAAGAACCCCAGACACTCCAACCGCCGTCCACTGCGAACGAAAATATTTAACTTTTTAGTATGATACTCTGACAAACAGTATCCTCGAAGCCGGAGAAATCTAGACGCACGAATGATTGCCTACCTATCCTCGTCTTCTCCATTTAAAAGATGAGACAAAAGAGCAAACAATCAGCCATTAGCTCCTATGGCTACATGGTAGCCTGGATAAAAATGGTAGTCTATATAATTGCAAAAACTTGGCCAGCAGTTGTTCTTACCGGGGCACGAGTGCGTGTTGCACTCATGCCTTTCCTGCGGATCCCCGTGGCACTCTTTCCCGCCATGTCTGGGCGCCGGTTCGGTGCAGCTCCGAGAGCGCTCCTGAAAACCTGTTCCGCAGGATCGATTACAAGGCGTCCATGTGCTCCAGCTTGACCAACCACCATCAACTGTAAAAATACCGGAAGAAGATATTTTATAGGTTGATAAGNAGACCAAGAACCCCAGACACTCCAACCGCCGTCCACTGCGAACGAAAATTTTAACTTTTAAGTACTGATCTCCTAACAAACAGTATCCTCGAAGCCGGAGAAATCTAGACACACGATTGATTGCCTACCTATCCTTGTCTTCTCCATTTAAAAGATGGAACAAAAGAGCAAACAACCATTAGCTCCTATGGCTACCTGGTAGACTGGATAAAAATGGTAGTCTATATAATTGCAAAAACTTAGCCTGCAGTTGTTCTTACCGGGGCACGAGTGCGTGTTGCACTCACGACTTTCTCGCGGATCCCCGTGGCACTCTTTCCCGCCATGTCTGGGAGCCGGTTGGGTGCAGCTCCGAGAACGCTCCTGAAAACCTGTTCCGCAGGATTGATTACAAGGCGTCCATGTGCTCCAGCTTGACCAACTACCATCAACTGTAAAAATACCGGAAGAAGATATTTTATAGGCTGATAAGAATTTTCGTTTGATTTTGATATATGTACAAGAGATCGCTTTCCTTAGTAGTTGAAGTCGGCTGCCTGCATATTGTGAATTGCAACCTTCACAGTGAGACAGTACTGCGTGGCT